CAGTAACCTTTCATGCTCTGCTTTACTTTTAGATGACATAAATTAGAGCATAGGATGTGGACAAAGTCAATTGTCATATGTTATGCCTTCAAAATGCATTCCACCTTTCCTTAGGGACGCTATATGATGCCATCTTGTGTACGTTTTCCCTCACAATGATCATCTTTCCTGAGAAGGCAGGGTATCAAAGAGATTCTTGTTTATTTGCTCACTTCTGACAGAGCTTTGTACAGGCAGCTGTGTTTCTCCACTGACTTCACACCGTATTTGAGGTCTGAAGGCATCAGGGCTTGTGAAATAATCTGAAGTCTGCAGAGCAGTCCTCACTGTAGAAAATGAAGCTATGTAGTGAAGGCAGGAGAGGAAGAGTGGGTTGCAGCTGTAACAAGGTGCAATTGCCAATATCATTGTCACTTTTTGCATGATTTTTATTGTAAAGTTCCAAGAATTATGTGCCACTGACTCATCTTTAATGATGCCCCATGGCTACTTCTAAATGTTTTCCTTGGATTCAGAACTCCCTAGCGATGACAGAGACGGCATGCTCAGGCTGCTTTTACCTACCTGCAATACTTTTTATTCCACTGTGATGAAATTTCTCTTGTGTCAGACTGGCGGTTTTACTCAATCCCCCACAGATATCACTAAGAAATTTTCCAGACTGTCTGCACCTCTTCAGATGGTGACAAGTAAAGGCGGTCCTCCTTGTGACATTAATTCCTAATGCTGTTGTATGTAGTAATCAGAGTCCGCTAATTATCAGGGGCATTCATTTATCTTCTAAGTTGTCTGGTCAGGTTTTGAGGAATTATAGGTTATCAAGGGTGAAGAGACTTTTTTCAATGCTTTAGGGCATCTGCAGGTGTGATTTGGTTTGTTCTCAGCACAGCTCTGAGAAATACCAGTCTTAAACATATGTAATAGTACGTTTGGATTTTGGTGTATTTTTGGAAAACATAATTAAGGAGACGAACTAATTCTGAGCTACTATAAAGTGGTTTGCTGGTGTTCCTAATCTTTTCTGTGCTGTTAACCTAAAACTGGCACATCTGGTTTATTCTATGAAGCAACAGTGACCTCCCATGGGCACAGGTGAGCTGCCAGTGCTGTGTGTTTCTGTTTCATTGATTTGACAAATCCATTATGGAATTGATCATCCAATCCCAAATAATAAGCAAGATTTCTCAACTTTCCAAATAACTGCCCAGATTAAAGGCAGAAGTTTACATTTAGGGGCCTAATCTGCATACAAAGACAAAAGGAGAAAAAATCCTGTTATTGGGACAGTTGTGGTGGGTTGTTCTTCGGGTGCTTCTCACTTTGTAATTTCAGTAAGAAAGGGTTTTGTTCAGACAGACCTTGGAAAGATGTTGCAAGAAGAAATTTCCTGATGTTTCCTCTGTAGTTTAGAGAGCACCAGTGTTAAGTGATTTATCAGTATGGCTCAGCACTTTGTTTCTTGTCAAATGCTGAAAATCTATTGTATTCAATTTTTCATCATCCTTTTAATTTGCGACAATTAAAAACCAAAACCGAGTCAAGAAAAATCGAGAGAGCAACAGAAAATGTTGGCCCTGGTATCCCAAGATCTGTCGCTGGATGGTGCTGTGAATCAGATCGCGGGAAGCCTTCACTAGCAAACAAATCACATCAGCTGCAAAAAGAGAGCAGCATAAAGGGGAATATATAGAGAAAACTCGTGTTGAAACAAATCAGATTTACCGGTACTTCCCTGTGCTTCCCAGTGTTGGTTTAAAATGTCCATCAGTGAGGAATGTGGCAGAAATGCCATTATTATTACTTTTTTCTCCCTGCAAAATTGGTGACTTAAAACTATGTCAAAAGAGCCCAGATGAAAGCTCAGGTGAAATTAATCTCAAAGGATTCAGAGAAGGTAGCATTTAAATGTGGGTATTGTAGAACGCAAGGGACTGTGTAGCACAGGCTGTGTTATGTGACCTATGGCTTGATTCATGTGCTTAGATATCTTGTTATTTTATGTTAAGTTGCATGTCCCACAGCCCCTTGAAGAGTGCACTTGTTCTGTGAGTGCTGGGTCACACTGGCAGCTCCCCACAGATGACTTGGGTACCCCAAAGCATTTCAGCAAGCAGAGAAGATGCACATAAGGCAGCTGACTCTCCCTCTGAAGGTCTTTATGATGCCTTGCTATAAATACCATAGCTACTCCTCCTTTCTTCTACTATCTATATGTTTCTGAATCTCAAGATTGAACTGTTTTGCTGTCTGCTATTCATGTCTTTGAAAATGTCTCTTTTTATCTCTCTCTAGCTTATCAGAATTATTAAGAGAGCTGTGAATTTAATTTAGACATCTGTACTAGAACAAAGCTCTGCTAAAATAGAAGGTTTTTGCTGGCTCTGCAGAGAATCGACTCAGTGTAGGGATGCACAGTCAGGGTTAATATTTTGTGTCCATGAGGTAGAGCCACAAACACCTATTCTTTTTCAGACTGGGCACTTGAGCAGTCTTCTCTATTTACAGTCTTTTATTTCTTTCTTCTTCTTTTTTTTTTTTTTCTTAAGGATCATTTATCTCTTAGTTATTGAAATACAATGGCGTGGCTGGCAGCCAGTCAAAATACCTCGTTTCTTCAAGTCTTTCACAATATTGTTTCACCTTTTAATTCCTGCCCCTGACAGACACAAGTGTATGGGATTTGCTGGTGTTCGGTTGGGATACTGTTGCTACTCAAAAAGTTTTGCTTGCTTGCATTGAGAAGTGAGTTATTCCATATGAACAAAGGTGGGGAAGTTGAGACTCAAACCCTTATGTTTTCAGATTATTTTCCTACAGGTCCTTTATTTGCAAATCCTTCTCTTCATCCTTGTCCTATCTTGACTGAGATGGCTATAACATGCTTAATAATCAGGTTTCTTTTTCCGTTTTATCTCAGACTTGATGGTGATCTAGTAGAGGATGTCATGTAAGAATACAAGATTGCTTTCTGCCATGTTTTATCTTATAGTTGTCTTAGGTCTGCCTTTTCTGGCACGGACTCAGTAAAGCACTTAAGTCAGGAAGTTAAGTGCTAGCCTGTCATAAACCATAAACATGTGCTCCTTGAATTGGGGCCCTTGCACTTTTTCTTTATGGTAGTTATATATTCCATGAAGTTCCTTGGTGTACCAGTTTTGGCATGTATACAAAGGTGTTGAGTTTGCTCTTTAAAGACATGTGATGATGCCAGAATAACTGGGTACATCTAGCTGGGCTTGACACAGGCTCAGTTATGGCAAACACAAAGAGAAGTTTGGTGATTGTCCACTGGATTGCTTATGGGGAGCAACATGTGAGGGGAGAAAACACTAAGATGCAAATTGTGTAGGTAGCTATGATAGTTCAATTCATATAACACACTGCACCAGTCAAAAACTATGAGTTCTGTGTGTGAAAGGGTGACATGGGGGACATTTAATCCCATATATGACTCCTCATCTCCTATGCTCTGCTTCGCCTGATATGTTTTTTGGAATCTAAACCTTCTGTCTGGGTGTCTGATTGTCTATGAGATATCAGAAGATTGTGTTCAAATGAATCTATGTATAAAGAGCAAGGGCTGTTTCATGTCCTGCTTTTATTCCCTATAGAGCAGCCTATTAGTCATCCAGCAAGCCAGAGCAGCTGAATGAACCAAGAATTAAGATGGACCAAATTGCAAATGCTCTCCTATTAGCTGCAGTTAGCTACATAAAAATTTGCTTATTTAGAGTTAATAATTAAAGTAATTCATAAGTGGGGACAAGAAAATAAAGGTCCTAAATCCATTTTTCCCTTCTGGACAAACACATTGAAAGTCACAAACAACAATGGTTTGTAATCTGGGGTCAAGTTTCAGAGGCTTTTTCCCATACACTGAGATTATATTTCACTCCCAATGGCCTTCATCCAGGTTCTTTCAACACCAGGGAAATGAATCCTACTGAGGTCAGCTAACACAGTCCTACCATGGCTAAATAAGAGAAGAGAGAAATGATTTTGTGCAGACCTAAAAGTGCTACTTGCCTTGTGTATGGTTGGGCACGATTCTGACTAGACTATGTAACACAAGCCACTGATTATGGTAATTTCCACTGTAGCTGGGTCAGTATGGGAAAGAAGGGGCAAGTGCCCTTTAACTTGCTCTCACAGAGATGGGTAGGGTCAGGATGTTACTTTGCTCTTTGGCAGTTATTAGAAATGTGATGCTGGATCTTTCCTGATTAGCTTAGAAGTGTAAAGCTCCTTGAGCTTTCCTCTCACTTACAGAATTTATGCTGTTTGTATCTGAAAATGCATCACACTTTTCTGAAATGTACCTAAAAAGTCCTATCTGAAGCAAGCATATAATACTAGGTCTTTACAGCCAACAGTGGGGAAGATCAGAGATGCTGGAGCTATTGTTATTGCTTGTGGTATTACTGCTCCTTTGCTGAAACAGGAGCAAAAATACTGTTATCCCCTATCCTCAACCTAAAGCTGTCACTTTGCAAATGGGGAAATAATGTTAGATATTAATAAAATAAAACAAACCAACAAACATTTCCTGTAGAAAACGAAGGCAGGAATTCACTAAGATTCTGGCTGGCCTGAGAGGACACAGCAAACAAACCCCTTCTTATGGTGAGTAGTTGAGTTCATGCTATCCGAAGTTAACACTTAATGGTGAAATTTGATCCAGGCATTGCTATACTAATCTCTGGATAATAACACAATGAATAAGAGCAGAACCCTGAAAAACAACTCTGTAAAATTTCCGAGGTTACTGAACTACTTTATTTGTTCACTGTTGTGTATAGTATTGCTTTTTGGTTTTCTTTAATAATTGTGACATCAGGTATTTATCTAAAAATGAGGAAGTCCACCCTATTTATCAACACAGCTAAGAACTGCATTCAGCAGCATCCAGTTTCTTTGTAGTAGAATAAACTAAGTGTTTTATGTATGCACAGCTCTCTCGTGACGTAGCTTTAATAACCAAGCCTTTATGTTCTTTTAAGCTTAGGCAGAAAGTTTCAGGAGAAATATCACAATAGGACTGGGATGTATGAGGGATCTCACAGGGGCCAAAGACTGGTGAGGTATATAGGATTATAAGGTCTCAGTACAGAACTTTAAGAGAATGCTTGCTGACCTTTATGGGGCCTATTCCTGTTACAGCTGAGCACGTGCTTAAACAGCTTCCTGAACTGAGACTTAAGCAGTAACACAGTTCTGGGTGTACTTAAAGTGTATTAATCAGCCACAGCGCTTGGTGGAGGGGAGAAAATGTACTAAGCATTCAATTATTGCTTCCTCCTTATGTTTCAGAATTGCATTCCTTTTTCATTGAAGTCAAGGAAAGCCTTGGGGTAGATAGAAGTTGTGACAGTAACCAAAGCCTAAGTAAAACACAGTGTTTGCATGCAGCTTGTGAAGCATTTGGTAGTTCTGTTTCAAAGGTGGATGTGTTGCTCGAGCAGTTGTAGAACTTTGAACTGTTTAATTGTCACAGCAACTATTGCATGGTACACAGCAACAGCTTGAAAACATCTGTCTGCAGTTGTTAAACAGGCAGAAATGTGGAGTGATGGTCCAGAGCTTTTCTGTTATAATGCAGGACAGCCAAATACAGCAACTCAGTGCTTATTTCTCCAGGCACCTCTGTTCAGACTTTCTTCCCAGAAAATTAAAAGCTTTCTGTTGTGGATATGAGCTCCCAGAGAAGCTCCCCATTTCACACCATCTTTTGCCAGCTACAGTTGCTTGTGTACAATAAGCTTTATCTAGTCAAGCATGCCACGTGCTGCAGAAAAATCACGTCTCTCATAACCCTCCAGTACTAGTCCATGAGTAAATCTTCATTCTGTACAACTCATGTCTCCTGGAAATCCATCTAAGAAGACAAATTAGAAAAATGCTATTCTTGAGTGGTTATATTTTATGGCAATATATTTATTTGTGATAAGAGCAATTTACTTAGGATTGTTCTTGCTATAGTCCATATCATTTGCCTGAGCCATGAATAAATAAATGATTGTTATGGCAGCTTTTGAGGCTCTCTCTGACCAAACCAGTCTAACCTGGCACTTGTTTGGGTTGGTTTCTTGCCACGTGTAATTTTTTTCTCTTGAGCAGTAAGTTCCCATGAAAGTGCCAGTATATTCCCCCTTGTTGAGAGTTAATATTTCATTAGCATAAATCATTTCATATCTTGTGAAGTCTGACCTAGTTTCTCTGAGTACAAACCTGTATCAAATCCTTCTTTGTCATTTGTATTGCTGGGTAAATTCCAGTACCACTGCTTTATGCTATATAGCTACTGTCTCTACAATTTCTGCTCTTCAGACTCAGAGCTCCTATCTCTGTCAGCAAGTCCTCCTTTCACCTAAGGATTACACAGACACAGAAGAAATCAAAACACCAAACTCCATAGCATGATACCTATGATATTTTCATGGTGTACTGGTGCTCCCTTGGAGAACAGGAACCAGGTGATGGAAATGCCCACAAGAAAAATTTTACTCTCATCAGGAGAGCATATGTGTCTCACTTCAGACCACAGTCTTAGTTGCTTTAAATTAGGGAAGTTCCACTGGTTCTAGCAAGGCTTTGCTTAACTGAGCCAATGCACACAGCAAAAGTGCCGTATTCCTACGGTAAACTGCATCACGTTCCAAAAATCCATACTTATCAAGAAACAGAGGTGAAAGATGACGCAACTTCATAGGATACGTAACTGACTGAGAGTACGTTTGTGTAGGGAAATGAGAAAATGCAAAAATACAGGTGTTGCTTGGAATTTGCTCCTCTTTATCCAGGGTTAAGAGGCTAATGGAGGCACAACTAACACAAGGAGATCCTGCTTAAAAAAAATAAAAGAAAAAAAAGACTAAAATAAAAGAAGAATTAAATATTTACCTACTAAAAGAAATGCCAATTGACAGATTAAATATGCAAGTTCTTTGTTATCATTCCAATAATTCCAGAACAAAAAGTTGGAGCTGAAGGAGGAGCAAATACCTGGTACAAGCCTTACACCTGTGCAAAGCAAGAAGAGACTTGCCACCTGCATTTCTCTTTGGAATAATGACCCCTAGAAAGTCTGCAACTCTTTCTCAGTCCTTCTGTACCCTTTTCTATCTCTGGTGCATTTTTTTATCCTCTTGCTGCTTGTATATATTAAAGGAATTACTGAGAGGAACTGAGCTATCTAATCTGTGAATTCCCACATGGAAGTAAACCAAGCCAACATAACTAAATTGCTTTTGAGGGACCTAGACAGATTCACACTCCTGATGGAGTGGTCACTGATGTAAGTGGTATGTGAACAGACATTTCTGATGTATTTGTTGTTAGCTTTGGTGTGATTGAGGAACTACGGGTCCAGCTTTATGTGGGATATATGCCTAAGAACCACAGAAGTTCAAGTTTTTTCAGTATTGAATGTGCTTGAGCTTCCGTGGGTAATGGATGCTCTAAACTGTGCACTGAGTGAAACTTTCTGGAAGAAATCCTGTTGTTTCAGCCCTTCTCAGGCTATTGCTTTGATCTCTGAATAACTCATGTCCTATTCTCTAGCCACTGAAAAAGAACCTAGTATTCAGTGAAAAGAGGCTAGAGATGGCCTCATGTGTTTGGGAGGCTTTTTTCTGTTGTAAGTGATTACATCTACATCCCCTACTTGTGATGTGGTATGTAGTAATACTGGAAGCTCCATACTTTCTATCCCCACATGATAATTTGCACCAACAGTCACAATCAGATCATGGTGACCTAGTACTGTTGAGCAGTGTCACCTTGATTTGGTGGCAGCTTTTCATGACTCTGCAAGTTCAATGCATTCACACAAATAGTCTTCTTAAGGGGCTATATGGATGTATGTTTTAATTTGCATTTCCACTTAATAAAGAGCAGGGAAATTACTAGTTAGCAGAAGTTGGTGGGTGAATTGCTATTCCATTTGTAAGTGTCCAAACCTACCCTGATTTTAAGAGCAGTGTTTCTGTTGGTTTTATAGGGTACTGTGCAGGGATGGGAGGTACCCTTTGAAGAGTACCAATACAATACATGGACAAGGACTCAACAAGCTGTTTTAGACTTCTGCAAGGCTCAAAGGCATAGCTTGCAAGTAGCTCATAGTGTAGTATGTGTATAAATATTTTAATATTCAGAGAACACTTCATTTTCTTGAATTATTGGAAAGCTTGAAAATCAGTCCATGCAATAGAAATAAATTCTTGAGTCTCAGACTCAGTCCCTTAAAACAAACATTTAAATAATCTTTTTAAAGCACCAAAAAGGGATTCTCCCTTAATTTTTCTGCCCCCCCCCCCCCCCCGAATCCTTCTTATACAAGCAGTATTATGCAAACAGACTGCAAGTGCCCTAGTAACCCCGTAAACCACAACAGCCAGAGACACGTGCTGGAAAAACATACAGGGAATATGCAGTGTGCACATCAGATGGCACTGGGAGCTTTTACAGTCAGAATAAGAGAACTTAAAGCGCTATTAGCTAGACATTTGATGCATCAACATGAAAGGGAAAACTTTTGTGCTCAGCAGATTAGGCTGAGCTGAGAAAGATTTCTGCTGAGAAATCTTTTGAATTCAGAATTGTTCCTTAATGTTGTGCATGCAAATTAGTGGCTTCTCCTTTAGTGAAGTTTCACTGGAAATCAGGTGTCAAAGATGTTCTTTCCTAGTTGGCCTCACTTTTTGAGGCTGGGTCTTGATGCTGAAGTAAGTGCATGGGAGAAGACAACTGCTGAGACTTCTCTTGCTGAGCGCCTTCGTATCTACTCATGAGATCTTGCTGCAGCTGAGGTTATTATATGTTGTTGCAAATAAACCAACGACTTCTTTTTCTTGACTACTTGTAGGTAAAGAGGATTTCAGTTTGCATTGCTCATGCCCTCTCTGTTGAGGGTGCAAATCGAGGGCAGATTAATGCTAGTGTGCATGGCAGGCTTTCAGAGGCAGATGTTTTTATGCTAAGACTTAAGCTAAGAGTGCTAGTGTTGGTGAGGCACTGGAGTAATACTACACCTCTCAGTAATAGTGAGCTTCATCCAATCCTTCATTGCACTCTGTGGCTTTCTGTACATACTGCTTTCCCTCAGGACAAATTGTTTTTGTTACAGCAAGCTGAATGGCAGCTGATATAATCAGTAATACCCCGAGCGATAATTCTGCAGGGCTGTAACTTGCATTGGCTGCTGTGTTTGTTCTTCCCAGGGAGTGAAGTATTTAACAAAGAAATGGACAATGCTGTAAATATATTGCTCAATAGGATAGCTTCTGCATGCATTTTGAAGACAGAAAACCGAATGTATGTGATACCATCAAACTGCTTGATTCCAAAACCTGCTGCTCCTTAAAATGTCAGCTCTCTAACCTTCAGACACAAGTTTTAACCTCTGCATTCCTGGGGATGCTGCTAGAACCAACTGTGCTTTAGGGAAATGGAGAAACCCACTAGAGGAGGAACGATGTCTGTGTTATATTTTACATGCTGCTGAAAGCTCTTCCTGACAGCTCAGGAAGGGCTGTGTATGTGCAGGACTTAAACTAATCCACCCTGCTAAGAGCTTATGCTTGGTGCAAGGCCAGTTGAGTTGCTATAGCTTTGGCTGGCACAGGACCCAGGAAGGTTTGTTTCTGTGTACTTGTGAAGACCCACCTAGCTGTGATCTGGGGGAGTGGGTTTGTCTAGTGTCAGATTCATAGCTCTGATATCAGCATGATGTGAACTTGAAGAAAGGTCTTTGGTCCCTGCGGTTGAATTTCATATGCCTTAAATTCAGTATCAATAAACTAGACATGGAAGCTGCATCTGGTCATCTAAGTTCCATTTACAGTCAAGAAAGAAACAGGCATCCTGGGGGAATTCATCTTAACTCAGATGGGGTTGCATGAATTAGCTGTTGGAAGTTGTGTTTCTCTGGACTAGAGACGGGGTATGTAAGCACTTAACTAAGTTTCTCTTCACTATCAGTGTAATGGGTGTGTTAATATCACTCATCTTAAGGGTTTTTTTGCTGTTTGTTAGCAACTGAAGGCACTCATATTTTTTCCATGATCTATGCTCAGGAAAGTATAGTTTGAGGCATCTGGCCTGTGCTACAAGAGAAACAATAGCATGTTGTTAACACTTTCTGAAAGATCCTCATACCTCAGACCTGGCAATGAAGTGCCATAAGAGGCATTTTACTTGCTGTTACTGTTTCACCATCTTCTCTGAGAAAGTTATCAATTTGCTCTTGAGAGATTGAGCAAATCTTACTTTTCTTGCAGGACAAGGGGTTGTTTTCAGCATGAGTCAACAGCAATAGGCTATACTTCATTAGGCCACTTATGCCTTGAGCCAG